GTCCCTGGAGAGGTCTCACCTCTCACCGAGATACACTCAGGGCCTATTAGGTGAGTCTCTTTTCACCACAGCACTGTGCATCTTTCTTTCTGGTCATTTTAGGTTGCTTTCTGAAATGGGTGAGTTTGCGGGTGGGCCCCTTAAGAGCTGGTTTTGATTTCTTTGTGAACCAGCTTTTCTGGGGGTACTCCCCAATGTTTTAGTAGCAGGCAAAGTCAGATATTCTGCCACTCGTCTCGATTGTGCTGGGTCCACAAAATGCCCCCAGCGGGGGCGCTCCCTGGCTCAGGGGCCCGCTCCTCCAGGGAGGCTGCGTACCTGTGGGCTGCTCCCAGGTGGCCGTGAAGCTGGCGGCTTGTGAAGGCGGCGTTTCTCCTCTCCAGAAGGGAGTTTCTGCCTCTTCTACCTCAATTAGGATTGTCCGTTGTTGCAGGAGGTCCTCTTATCCAGTTTTCAGTTCTCTCTCAGGGGTAATTTTTCCACGAGTTGTTGTAAATTGGCTGTGTCCGCGGGAGGAGGTGAGTTCCGAGTCTGCCTACGCCGCCATCTTGACTTCATCCCCACATCATTATATTTTGATTTCTGTGTAGACTACATCATGTTCACCACCCAAAGTCTAATTATCATCTTGAAATTTATACAATGTTATAAAGTTACCTCAATCAAAAAAAAGCAATATGGAGGCACCATGTACATATTTAGCTATTTTACACTAGGTAAATCATTTTAGCAAAGATATAAGAGTCTTATAGAATTGTAAATAACCAGACATGCTGAAGCAGGTTTCTCCCTTGACATATACAGGCATCTGTCATTAGCACAGGACAGTGGTTCTCACACCTATGTGTGCATGAAAATCCCTGGGGGTTCTTGTTAAAAATGCAGATCCCTAAGTCCCATGCTCAGAGACCGAGACCTCATGTTTAGAAATACGGCCTTAAACTAGATGAAAAAGAACACTACAAATGTCCAGAGTCCATCGTACCTGGTAGATGGCCATGGCACAGTGTTCCTGCAGCTGCTCATTCTCACTATTGAGGTTCTTTACTAGATTTTCAATGATCCTTTCTGCTTTGATTGCAGCTCGGTAACTTTCCTAGGAAAATAAACTTAAATATTTATGGGTGTATAATGCATGAATGTAAGTATCTATTCACATTTATTAATAATTACCATGAACAAATTTTCTTAGTAAATAAACACCATAGTCCAAGCATAACATATCGATGTAAGAATATGAGAATTTAGTCAACATTTCCAAAAATATATCACACAGGTACCAGCGTAATTAACGTTCTATTAGTTTGATCTACTCGTCCTAAAAGAATGCTGACTTCATGAAAATAAACCCCTTGGCAGTCATGATCACCTTAAAAATTATTTTCAACTAAAGAAATTAAAGTAAATGAAAGCAAGGGAAGCAGAGCTGGCCTGGGTACCTCTGAGGCACATTCTTGCAAAGTCCCCACCACCGGAATTAGCATGTTTTCATGAGAAGTCTTCAGTAACCGAGCCAACAAAGGAATGCCCCCGGCTTTCCGAATGGCTTCTTTATTTGCATAACTCTTACTGCAGCTCCACAGCGCCAGCGCCCCGCAGCGAGCCACTTCCACATCTCTGGTCTCATACAGACTCGACTGAGCAGGTTCTGTTGAATTCTGCCCACAGTCAAGTAGAGCGACCTACAAGAACAGATAAATACAATGTACATGGGAATCTTCAACATAAAACTTAATGCATCCCTCAATAGCTACAGGGCTGCTACCAAGCTCAGCTCCATCAAAAATAAGAACACTTTTAAAAATTAACTTTCATAGTACACAGCAGTCAGTAAAGCAAAGAAACAAACAAAATTCTTCAAAATACCTTCACTCAGGTTTGGGAGCTTTTATATTTCCTTCCCACAAGAAATTTAATCCCACTAAGATAGTATTTTCTTAATACAGCTCTAAGATTTACATTAGTAAGATTTGTAAACCACATCCTCGGCCCTGGTATCTCAGAAAATTAGGCTCCCTAAAGCCATTAGAACTTTCTAATGAGAACTGACTCAATGGGCTTCACACTCTTAAAACCATGAGACCTCTTTGGAGGACACAGCCCTCCGCCCGTACTACCGAAATCAACCAAACCAAACAGCACAGCTGCCAGGATCCTCTCTTTTCTTTGCAATAAACAAAGTCACTGAAGATCTTAAGGGAAAGGCAATTTATCTGGATACAGCTGTCTGTCAGTGTAGCCCATGGAGGAAGTGAAGCCAGGCCTCCCAGAGGTGTCTATCCTACACGTGTCTACTCCACTCTCCTCTCTCTGCAGGCCGAATTTCATGGATACTGTCCACATAATCATGACCACCAATCCTGAGTTTAGAAGAGAGTAGCCCAGACTAAATAGAGTCTCTGATTCCTAATTCCAAATTCCTAGGAGACAGATCCTGTGAGAGCAGCGTTGAGTCAAGTGTACACTCATGGTCTAATTAGTTATGGCCCAAGAAAGGACAGGGGCTGAGGAGTATTTACACAGCCTTCAGGTGTCTACTGGGAATGGGATAGCAATGAAGGAAAGAAATTCTACGACAATGGGATTGAACACACGGCAGAAAGCCTAAAGGTATCTGTCTTCCACAGTTACTCCTTCATTCTCTCTATAAGGTCCAAACTCCATAGTTCATTGGATGAGGCCCTGTGTGATCACCATGGTCCTCCATCTTCGTCTCTCACTGCTCAGCCCATCTCATCCTAGGTCCGGCCACATTAAACTACATGCAGTTGCCAAACACTCAAGGTTGATTCCCAGCTCTGGGCCTTTACCAACATGGCTTCATGTTCGTGAAATGCCTTTCCCGGGTATGTCCTCATGACAAATACCTACTCATCTTTCAAGACTCAGCAAAGGCAACAACTCCTCTCTCCAGTCTTTCTTGACCCTCTTCCTCCAAGTAGAGTTGGTTGATCACCCCCCTCCTCTGTTCCTCCACTATTCCCAGTGCTGACTCCCATAAAATAGCCAAAACTCGCCATTACACTTATACTTTTACCTGTAGTCCCCCTCCCCCCACATCCCTCCCCACCACGAGACTGTGACATCACTGTGGTCAGGGACATACATTTATTTATATTTACTTATATTCATGTTCCCACCACCTAGTTATGTACCTGACACACATTTCAAGAAATGTTTGAAATGGTTTTCAGTGAAAGGCTCAAGTATGCTACCTACAGAGAAACACGGAAACTTGTCACAGGACTAACGGCACTGGATCTTGCAATATTTCCCTGCCTGGATGCCTTCTCCCTGCTTGCTCAGACTTCATGTCTTCTGCCCAGTCTTCTACTGGGTGTGCCTCTGCAGAGACTGACCTCCATCCAGGTGCCCAAATCCACTGTGGCCAGCGCCATCCTGCCTGCTCTGATACTGACCTTGGTTCCCTTGCTCTGGTGCCATAACCAGCCCACTGCTTCATCTCTGTATTGGGCGATCTCCCTCATTTCCAGCTTTAGTTGGGGGCTCTTAGCTGTATGTCACCTCCCCCCACCCTATACCTAGCAAACCAAAAATGGATCCCCAATCCTGCTCCTTCCCAGATGTGTTCTCAACCTAGCAATTACAAGTTTATTATTAGTTTATCCATTATTGGTCTTGCCTGTTCCTAATTTAGCTATTATTTAAAATTAAATTAAAATGTGCATCATTATCTTGACTAGGTTAGTGCGACTGTCCATATTCTAAGTCCCCAAAACATGATGCATAAGACTCCCATAAAAACATATTTTTGTTTTATACTACATTCCTCATTCTTATAATTTAATGGCAGCAGTTTCAGTGGACAGCCACATCAGCCTACCATATGATTTCATTATTTAAGCAGAAGAATGATACTCATAGTAATAATTACCTTTCCCCCAACATTTTATTATGAAAATTTTCAAACACACACAAAGGCTGAAAGAATATAGTAATTGCACAGCAACATCCATATATCCATCACCTAAATTCTGTAATTAACATTCTGCCATATTTGTTTTACCCCATAGCTAACCATCTAGTCACCCATCTCTCCAGCCATAAGTCATCTTATTTTTGAAGCAAATAATTACAATTTATAGGGCTCTACAGATACAAGTGAATACACAGAATCTCTCAGTAAATTTCTAAACACATTTCACTGTGTACATATTCCCATTAAATCCATATTAATTCAATAGGTATTTATTAACTCTTTTTATGTGTAAAGTTCTGGGCTAAGTGCTCTGGATGAGACTAAGATGAATAAGACATGTCTCTGATCTTAAGGAACTGAAAGTGCAGAAGTAGAGAAAATCCAGCCTGATAAAAGCTGTGGGAGAGACACAAGATCTGCTGATCCTTACTAAGCAGGATGAAAATGGATTTCCATATTGCATTTTATTAAGGTCTTTCCTGCCGTGGCAAAGGTGCTGAGCAGAATGCTAACTTTTTCCTTTCAGTGATAGTTATTGAAACCATTATTTTTCTGATTATAAAAGTAATACTTACACAACAAACTGGCAAATGTAGAAAAATAGGAAGAAAATCTGGTAATCATTTCAGAGAAAATCCCTGTGAACAATTTTGTGTATTTACTCCAAGTGTTTTTTCTACACTTGTTAGGTAGCTCTTTCAAAATTGAGATTGCCGGTATCATCAGTTTTAATCCTGTTATGATTTTTTATATAATATTAAATATACATTTATTCCTTGTTACTAAATAAACTTCCAAAACATAATATTAATAGCTGACAATAGACATTTCTTATGGATATAATGCAAATTATTTTACTAATCTCATATTATAAAACACACTAAAGTTTTCAGTTGTCACTCTTGTAGGTAACAATAGGATAAATAAGTACCTGCAGCTCTGACTCTCTTCTTGGGGGACAGTCCTCATAGTGAGGTCACCACATCAGAGGGCACAGGCTACCAGACTGCTTTCCACTGTGCAGGGTCTCACCATCCCCACACCAACACTGCACACACATGTGAATGTGTCCCCACCACTGTGAGACATGAAAACTACATCTATTTCTTAAAATTCATATTTCCTTGAAAAATGAGGTTGAACATGTTTTTTGGCCTCTTGCGAATGTAAATACACAAAAATAATTTTCAAGGACATGTTATACAAAAAGAAGATTCCCAGAACACGCCCTATGGTTACTTAACCTCTGGGCATGGCCAGGAAGGACAGGGAGTTGACGTCTGGGTTGCAGCTGGTGTGCTGATGACAAGGTCAGTGGTACTCACCAGTTTGGTGATGCCCCCGTGGCATCTCACCGCCCGCCAGGCTCTTCTAAACTTGGCAACATTAGCAATTGTCTCAGCTGCCAAACATTTCAGACTCTTATATGGAGAATCAAGTATATTAACCATAATTGGTAAGCCCCCAAGGTCAACAATATTACGTCTGATTTGAGGATTATGACTGATTTCCTTCAGGATTTTTAATGAACCAATCTAAATGAGAAAAAAAGTTATAGATGTAATGAGTGCTTAATATATAACCAGGGCTATATTTTTAAAAATTCCAAGTCTACCGAAAATCCTTCCCCAATTAAGTTTTATAAAGAAATAGTTTCTGTTTCCAGGTGTTAACACACATATCCTCTGTATATTCCTTCAGTTATGTAAACAAACATCCATCATCTAAGAAGCAGGCACTACAGTCATGTGCCGCATAATGACGTTTCGGTCAACGATGGACCACATATATGACGGCGATCCCATGAGATTGATACCGTTTAGCCTAGGTGTGCAGTGGGCTGTACCATCTGAGTCTGTGTAAGTACACCCTACGATGTTCGCACGATGACGAAATTGCCTAAAGACGCATTTCTCATAACATAGCCCCGCTGTTAAGCGACACATGACTGTAATGGAAAAGAACCAGAAGAGAAGGCAGAAAAGCAGACGAGAAGAGCAGCTAACAGCAGACGTGGCAGGTTATCAGGAATAACAGCAGAGGAAGACAAGAAACAGGCAGCAGGAGGCAGACACTCAGCACTAAGAAGAGAACCACAAGAAGCTATGAAGAAGGCTCCTCGCCCACTGTGACAAAGCCACGCACCTTACATTTGACTTCATCTGTATCGAGTAAATTTATTAAAACTTCAAGGCCTCCAACATCCCTGATTGCCAACTGGCACGTCTCTTGCGCTAAGTTGAAATCCTTCATCGAACACAACGCAATCACTGTAGCTGTCTGATTTCCTCCCTAAGAAGACACAATGCCATAGAAAGGTTAAATAGGATCACACTCCCGTAGAAATTTACAAAATGCTTACGAATCCACGAACTGGGAAATGTGTCTCCCTATACACACAGCACATAAAATTTTTTTAAGTTCTCTGAGTGGGTTATAATTTGCTAAATGAATCGTGTAGAGCTGATGCAGGAAAAAGCTGGACAGAGTGTCATAAAACATTATTACAATTAAGAGTCAACATTTAGAGGTGGTCTGTCAGCTTTAAACAGCTACAACATTAGGCAGTATTAGTATATTAAATAGAGTCAAGGGGCAAGCCTTGAGAGATCGACTGAGGAATGAGTTTTATTTGGAGGTAATAGGCAGTCCCTGTGGTTTTTGAACAGTGTACAGTGCAATGCAAACCATGTCAGAAAATTACTCTTACAGATGTACATAGAACAGTCTGGAACAGAGAAACCTGGAGAAAGGGAAACTATGTGGGAGGCAGTACAATAATCCATACTGGGACCAATGGTAAGCAGAGTAAGTGCTAGGGGGTCAGGAAAGAGGATGCAATTCCATCAAGAACTGGAGATGACCTGGTGGGTGGATGAAGGAGGAAAAAAGAAGCCATCATGGATGTGAGTGAAATACTGGCCCAATGTAAACAATCATGCAAATCAATGTCTCCTTAGCTAACCACCACAAGTGAAGAGTAGTGGGAAACGGCTCCTTGAAGATAAAACAATCTGAGAGATGAAAAAAAATTTAATGATTGATCAGTGAAACAGATCTGGCAGGAAATCAAAATCAAAATTCGTGGCAGGAATTCTTAGGCAATGTCCACTGATCGTTAATGCTTTGAATATCTTCAGAAGAACATACCATAGTACATATTACTTCTACGGCTATGAAGACTGGTGGGTAAATAAGAGTTCCAGTACAAGCAGTGACATTATTCATAAGACACAAAAGCAATATTTCTAATGGAGCTAAGAATACACTATTTTTGTAAAAGGTGCTCATAAAAGATAGTTGTGGATTTCTACCTCAAAACGTAGTAGAAATGGCCTCAAATAAATCTCTCTCTCGAGGCAAGATACCTACAAGCTACGTTTATTTTCATTTGCTAATCATTACTTTATATTGCCATATCTATTTTATATGTATATATATATACACACACACACACATATAATATATAGACATAGCACAAAAAATGGAAATTATATTCAAGTTGCCTAACCCCCTCCTTCTAATCACACACACACACACACACACACACGCGCGCGCGCGCAAATCCTTTTGTGAATTCAAGACCATATGTTACTTTTAAAATAAGAAACTGAACTGGGATTACTAAGAGCAAGTATCAAAAAGTGAAGAGGGAAAGGTTGAGACTTCAGCCTTTCCAGAAAATTCCCTCCACATCTCTAAAAATGTTATGAACCACTATCCTGTGGTGACATCACTGACAATTTCTGTTTTTCATACTAATTTTCCTTCCGGGTAATCTAGGCTGTCCTCTACATTCAAGATTAAGTTTAGAACGACAAGAGCCTTGATTTTATTATTCACATTTAAAATAATAAGTTTTGTTCTTACAGCTCTTAGTGTCTTTTTCTCGATATCAGGAGAAATTTTAACACCACCAATTTTCCTACAGTTGGTTTTGAAACATAAAATAATAAATCCTCCACTTATTACTGTCAGTTTCATAAACTCCCTTGGTTGGGGGCACAGGACCCCCACACGCTAGCACTTCTGGTGCCTCTTTTAGAAAAACAAAAGGCAGATAGTTTGTAAACCCATAAAGAAGAATCTAAATGCTAACCGTAATTAATTAAAGAAAATAATACAGAAAAGAGAAAAGCAAAGAAAATAAGAAAAACAATTCATTAAACAAGGCTCTTCTTCTGAATTTAAATGGTCAGAAGGAGCCAGACAGTTCCCCTGCGGTATCTGAAGGGACAGAGCTGGGTTCCTACACAAAAGTTTGAAAATGCAAACCAAGAGCTTCCGGCAGGGAGAGTTCTTTAGGCAGTGGCTTCAGACTCAAGCATGACTAGGAAGCGAGAAGATGTCCAACAGCGTGTCATGTCTCAGTCAAGCCAAGAGAATCCTCTCACCCCAGGCCCAACTCCCTAAAGAAGAACCTACTGTCCCGACATTCTCAGTCGTGCCTGATCGAGGACCTTCTTGACTGCTATTCTTACATTATATTTTCTTTGGTAGCAATTTTCTACTTACACGCTCAGCACAATTATTGTTTCCTATTTCATTTCAAGGTCTCTTAATTTTTCTCTTCTAGACTATTTCCATCTTGTGTGCTTTATTTCATTGTTTACACTATAACCAATGAAATAAATTTTTTTAAAGTCATGTAATTGCAGCAGGTGCCCAAAAGGTAAGATTTTATATTTTCCTGAATTATCTCTAGGCCAATTTTGAAGCCAAAGGATGGAAAATTGACATTCATCATCGAGAAGTTAGATCCTTATAGAAAAAAAATTGCTGTAAATCATCAGCTTTTTCTGAAAATCTGGAAACATATTCATAGGCTTGAGGGATTTTTTTTAGAACAGTTTTATATTAGGGAAAGTTAGTTTTTCCACATTTCAGGATTTAGTTCTACTCTTGTCACTGACCACACTCCCCAAAGGATTATAAATCTTTCAGAATGAATACCAGAGCATGGGAGCCAAAATATTCAACATACAGAGCCACAAATGTTGGCCAATTGCTATTCTTTAAATACCAGCTATGTCAAAGGATTTTCAAATGTTCGTTCCACTTTGACCAGACGCCATAAAGATCTAACTGTGGAGAAGCAGCGCAAATATACTCCTTTTTCAATTAAATCTCTCCGGAGAATGTCATTAGTTGCCAATACTTATTTTCACATTTTATCATGCATTTGCATTTGTGAAGTTTTAAGAGCTGGAGAAAACATAGTAAAATATGGTTTTACTAGCTTCTGAAGGGTTTGAAGAATGCTTCCAGTAAGGTTTTCCACTTCTTCAATTAATGCAGTTCTTTTGCTAGTTGTCTTCCTGCCCCTGCTTCCTCTCAGACATCTCCAGGCTCTGTCGGCCTCTGGGATATCTTGCAGTTCACATTCCTTTCTATGACAAGGAGGTATTCATTTTCACAATCAGGTTTCAAACACGCACAGGTTCTCTCACTTTTCTCAAAATTTCTTTTTGAAAGACAAGCTGAAGAGAGGATATTTTTCTAAATGATGTTTTTCATTGTTTTAAATAAAATCCTTGAAATGAAAAAGTATTCCTCTATCTGATATACAGAATGATACCCACCCCCGCCTCCCTCCTGCTGATAAGGAAGAAATAAAAATTTACTAAAGTTGAGATGAAGAATGTATTCAAGAGTAAATCAAAGAGCAAGCTCCCTCAAATCGTTCTTGTATTCTTTCATTCAATAAATTTGCACACTTACTCTTCACCGAATCTGATGCTAGGCGCTAGAGACATCCCGTTAAATAAAAACAGACGTGGTCTTTGCCTTCACAAAGCTCACAGTTTAGTGGAGAAGAAAGATTTTAATTTTTTAAGCCCATCCAAATAAATGAAAACTTTAAGTCTGAGTAGTGCTAGAAGGGAGAGGGGCATGGAGCTATGGAAGCCCACAAGAGGCGACTTGAACCAGGCCTGGGGCATCAGGGAACGTTCCCCTGAGGAAAGTATGTCTGGATTGAGGTCTGGACAAAGGTAGGAGCTTTCCCTGGTGGAGAAGGAGAGAAGTTATGAAAGACAGACCCGTAAGAGAGAAGAGAATGTGCAAACGCCCTACAGTGGAGTGGAGCACGGCTTGTTTCAGAACTAAAGAAGGCCAGTGTGGCTGAGACCTAAAGAGTGGGCAGCAGAGTGGTCCAAGATGAGCTGAAAAACTAGGTGGGCAACAGAACCTACTGGGCTTATAGGCCGGGTTAAGAATTTTACTCTTTATGCAAGATTGATAGGAAATATTCAAGGACTGTTTTTTTGGGGGGAGGGAGAGAACTAGCATGAGCTGAGTACATTCTTAAAAGCTCGTTCTGGCTGAAGAAGCCCCTGGGTGGAGGGGGCAAGTGCGGATATGCAGAGACCACTGGGGTTACTGCAGCCATCCAGAGAAGAGGGTAACTTGGATTTGGAGGTCCAAGTGATTCACTGTGTGTTGTAAAGGTGTCGAGTAACTTCGTTCAGAAAAGGATGATATGAAGCTAGACGATGAAACTCTGATGGGCACACATACTCACAGGGCCATCACTCTGAGCTACCATCAGAGCCCCGCACGACAAGAGGGAGACAAGAAGGCAGGCAGAGGCCTGGTTGAGAATAGAGGCCTCACTTTTCCTGTTCCCACTGTCTGCAGTCAAGAGGCAGCTGGTGAGACCTCGTAAGGTGACACAACCATCACACAGCCATCCAACTGGCTTTCAGTGTTCTTAGTACTTTTTCCTCCAAACATGCCACTCAGAGCAAGAGAAGTGAACCCCTGCCAGTGACTGTTTATTAATGATGACAGAGGGCCTGGCGCCCGGCACAGAGGTTGGCTTACAGATACTCTTCCTCTCCCAGGATCAGAGATGGTGAAAAGTCAATGCCCGAAGTGAGTGGCATATAACCACGTAAGTGAAGGCAGTAAAATATACTGCTTTGCCTTCTGTTTATTTGCAAATGGATTTTATACTGATGATTCAGCACTCATAAACCCAAGACTCAAGAGATGAGACTCAAGAGAACTCCAGGAAGGAAAATGAGAAAATACTGTTCCAGAAGAAAAAAGAAATTAGACTCAGACTGTCGTAGTACAGGCTTGCTAAGAATTTTTTATCAGGAATGGATAAGGAACAACGCAAGGATTCCCTACACAGTCTTTTTAAATAGCCATGGAACAGTTAAAGAAATTGACAACTTACTGGAGTGTCCTAGTCATTGCAATGAGGAAAAATTTGTAGCAAATGTAACTGTCTTCCTAAAAAGATTCAGAAGAATGAACTGAATAATTATGATAATTAAAAACAG